TACTTCTAAAAACTTGTATTATTAAAGCCTTAAAACGAATTTTTTGTTACTTTTATTATTTTCCTAAAAAAAATTCCCAAAGTTACCGATTGATTTTTAGGCGATCAAGGTGGTGTAACCCCTTAAACAAAATAGTGCATTATCTGCGGTAAATACGTGTTACTATTGCAAATATATCTGTATTTGACAAAGTAAAAATCTACTTATTCAGTTTATTAGTAAAATAATTTGAAGATCACAAAAATACATGCAACAGTTTGGACAATTTAATATTTTTATTATCAAATTTTTTTCTTTTCTATATATATTTTTCTTTTCTTTTCTATACATATAAATATGACAAATGATTCGACTGTGATAAACATTAAATATGTTTTGTTAGCAAATCTTTTTCCTTCGTGCAAGGTAAACTTTATAATTACAATTTTCTATGAAGCAATTATTTACAGTTATCGAATCGAGAAAGCTATGAGGATAAATATGCAGGAAAATGTCAGCCTGAAAGATGAGTTAATAATTTATAAAGAAATAATTTATGCCGTAGATATTCATCGTAAAGCTATCAAGTTGGTATTTATTTGATAATATTTTAATAAAATATGCAAAATACATGAATCATTGAATGATTTTGTTCGAAGGTTCTCCGAATTTATATTGTCCAGCTTTCAGGGGTCGCATTTCTGTTTAATAATGGTTGGTGTGGTTTGTTTGAGTCTCAATCTTTACGGGGTGAGTTCTTCTCTTGTCATGTCTGTCATATCGTGACATTTTACGGTATAAAATTTTATAAGAAAATTTTTATTAAAAATTTGTACAATCTTAATATTCTTCAATTGCCATATATATCCAAATTGAATACACAAGCCTAGGTTCAGGATGTCATCATATTAATTTTAGTATTAATTTAACACATATTTCCTACTTACTATCATCTCCTCGCTAGAAATAATTAATCGAATCGACATCGAGTGACGTCGATGGCATTAGCGTCAATTGACGTCGATTCCTATTTCTGGCTGGGCTGTATATGAACCGAGAACACTTTGCGTATGATATATTATGAATTCCAGAGAAGTCTGTCAATTTTATCGAAGACATTGATTGAAAAACATATTTTAATGTAAAAAATTTAATCAAAATTATATGAAAAATAATGGTGTGGCACCAGCAAATTATTATAGCGATTATAAAAAATGCTCGTGCAACAGTCAAAAATTTCATTCAATTTAATTAATATCTGAATTGAAAGATCTTTTTGTAACTTTGTCTATTTTGATTAATAATAATAAGATGTATATATACATGAAACATTGACTAGGACATTTTATTGTTAGATTTCTGTGACTGCGTCACTTGGAAACGACATCGAGCAATGTTTAGTACACCTCACGATTGTATCTATCATTTTTATATACATGTTCTTAGCCAATTACGCTGGACAAGAAGTTATCGATCATAATGACAACGTGTATTCCACCGCGTAAGAAAGACTGTTGTCCCCGCAAATGTGTATCTCGATAAATCTCTTATGATTCTCTCGTTTAATGAAAATAAATCTTAAAGCGCATACTCGTATGCTGAATGTTGCCACATCATTTCCGATCAGTTTGTTGTCTAGCCATTCGTACTTTGTAGGTACAACATTCGGTGGTACGTAGCGCCTTTGCATGTGCAGAGGTTGATACTGTTTCTCTTGCAAAGGGGCAGCAAAGCTGTCAGCCTGAACCTCGGCGGGATGTTCGTAATGTCTCTGGAGCTTTTCGCCACGGTAAAAATCATATGTCGCGTGTGTAACGTGTTACGGATACGTATACGTGGTATGCACGATGCGCGACAGAGGCAACGCAACACAAGATACCATATTTTTCATTCCAGCTAACAAAGGCATCGATATCGTACTTTACCGTTGTGTATTCTATGCAGCAGTAATGCGAGAGTCTTATCATCCGACAGTATAATATAATTTGCAGTAAAGTAGGTGAGTGAAAAAGAAGCGACAACCCAATTTTTTCATTTCTATTATATTTACATCCTTGTTGGAGATACGTAGATAGTTGAGGACATAATGCTTCTTTGCCTTTTTTTAATTGTAATCTATGTTATTTGGTAACATTTGTGAGAAATATCAATAGATTCTAGATGTTAAACTGATTATGAAACAAGATATTTTCATCATTCGAGTAATTTTTAAGTAAACAAAAAGTTTGATAAATTGGCTATATTCAATTTATCAAACTAACTCAGATTGCTGAAATCTGTTTTTATTGATTGTGTTCACATTTTTAGATTAAATTTAAGGATAAAATAAAATTCACTGTCAACGCGAAAGCTAGAGTTCTATCGAATCTGAGCCTAAAAGTTGAAACGATGAATGAGCCTACCAGCAGTGTGTTAAACGATTATGTACATCGTTGTATAATGAAGCTAAATGAGTTACATAATAATGCCCTTGATAGCGTTGATTGTATTTTCTATATGTTGCACTTTATGGTCAAATAACTTACAAATTCACATAATTATTTAATTTTGAATAACAAATGTCTATCTATTTTTAAGATTATATTATTTTGAAGTCTATATTGTGTAATATTTCAAGAAATAAATAAATATATCTGTTTAAGTGTGTGTTTTTTAATAGATCTAACAACCAAAATATTTTTAACTTTAGATATTACAAATGTGGAGAACAGTTGCAATTTAGAATGTAATACAATTTGTAAATTTTCGTTATCTTTTTCATCTATTTTTGCGATAATTGCATAGCTGATGTTTATACATAGATACGACTGAGGAATCAATGTTCTGTTTAACAAACAAACGTATCGTGCAAATAGTAAGGTCGAGTGAGAAAGGACAACGAACAACTACGTTTACGTCGACTTCCATCAGGAAGTCATTTCGTGTGAGTGTTTTTCTGCGAGCAATAGACATTCGTTGAATTCCTTTTGGCGCCAAGCGAGTCGCTTAATCTCTTTTCTCTTTTCTATAATATGAGTGTGTTCCGATCTTACGGTGATATTTCGTACCGTTTATTTTATAATAAATCAGATCTTTCACTTTAGAGTTTAAATGAGAAGTTATAGAATTTTTAATTCGGAGGAAATAATGTGACTGTCTATTTATATATACTAGTATATATATTGTCACGTGCTTGGCAAGTTCGCGCTCGCGCGGATAAAAAACGAGATGGGAATTTATTTTAAGGAGAGAAGGTGTAAGCCCTCGTAATTATATCCCTCCAGCGATTGACGGGGAATCGCAACGCGAAAGTTGGGCGCCAAACGTGCTCGATGGTCACTCGCGAAATTCGAAGTCGTCGCGACAAAGTCGCGTGCACGAAACATTACCCGAAATTCACGAACTCCGGAGCTCTTCCCGAGGGAGCTCTTCCCGAAAAAGTAGGTTCGGTCAAATTTACGTTTTCTCAGTCGATTATGTCTATACAGTCGTTGCAATCGAAGTTTATACGGTGACCATAAAAACGTAAATTTGATCGATCCTGCTTTTTCGCGATCAATGTCAGACCATGAAATCCGAGGATATATGCTCGCAGATGCTGCAATTAAAGATTTGGAAATACCCTATACAAGCAATGGAGCGTCACATTAAAATAGTCACCGAGATAGCACATCGTGTGTCCCCTAAACAAATGCAAAGGAATGGCATTTACTATGATCGAATCTTGACTTAAAAGGTCAAGAAGTGAAACAAAAAAGATTTCCAGCAATAAATTATTTTTATGAAACAATTGTTATGTACCATAATAAACCGACGATTAATTGAAATAAAATAATAATCGATATTTTTTTATTTTTTAGAAGGGGTAGATATTTATTAAAAAATTTCCGCTTGTAACCAAAATTCATTTTTTATGCCTTTTCCGAAAATGCACAACAGGGGATAAGAAATCGCTCCACCCTAATATACAATCTATATAAAATAAATCTATTTTCCTTTGTACTTACAGTAATTATGTACAACTTATAGTTTCTATAAATATTGTGTTATATCAAAAATACATACTAATAAAAAAAACGATCAAGATTCATGACAGTCTATTCTGCTCAAATATATATATATTTATATTATCTGTAAACAATCCATTTATACATATTTTCTTCTCGATTGCAAATTTTGTAACTACTTGTTATGAACAAAGGAAAAAATCCGAAAAATTGAAGAACACTCTTATTGTTAGAGCACTTTGCCGAGGAATAAAAATCGTACGGCTAGATATCGTTTGGACAAACAGTGAATCGACAAACGACGCGAATACGTTTCCATTAAGCGTACCAAAGCTCAATCATGATCGAGATCCGCCGATGTAAACAGGCAAAACTATCTATTCTCTCTCTCTCTCTCTCTCTCTCTCTCTCTCTCTCTCTGCGTCGCGCGTGTTCGCCATTTTTTACAGGGAGTTACGAGCGATAAATGGATTTGTGATGACGATGAAAGAATGATCAGACGCGGGATTAAAAGCGACCGATAGGAAAAAGGCTCCGCATCGCGCCGCGCGCTATCCGCGCGTAAAATAAACTGCAGGTGGGAAAAGA